GCCGTGTAGTGCCGTGTAGTGGCGGTTAAGAATATCCACTACCCCATATTTTCCTGTGGGTGTCGTAAAAAGCGACAAAGGGAAACGAGCAGGAGATGGGCAGCAGCATCTTCCTGGTAACGGCAAAAATACAACAAAAAACTGCGGTTGCCAACCCGCTCGCCGAGCGTGGCAACTATGGCAATATACCCCCCATGATGAAAGTTTCGAAGAGACGGCCCCCAGTCCCCGGCGGCCCCGCTATTCCTGGCTACGGTGGCGACCATGGTGACGGCGGGGCAGGGGGTGCTAAGAATCTCCGGTGGAGGTTCGGTTGCAACCTACGACGACTCGACCTGGCAACATACAACGCACGCACCCTGAGAACTGACGAGATTGTGGAGCTGGAAGAAGAGATAGACAAGTTACGCTGGCATATTATAGGATTATCCGAAGTCCGAAGAGAGGGGGAGGACACGGTAATCCTCGAATCCGGCAACTTGCTCTATTACCGGGAGGGCGACCATCTGTCCCAAGGAGGTGTCGGATTTATCGTCCACAAGTCTCTCGTTAACAACGTTGTAAAGATTGAGAGTGTGTCAACGAGGGTTGCGTACCTTATACTCAGAATCACCAAACGGTATTCGCTGAAGGTCATACAGGTTTACGCGCCAACCTCGGCACACCCCGATCAGGAGGTGGAGGAAATGTATAAGAATATCTCTAGAGCCATGCATTCCTCCAAAACCCAATATACGGTGTTAATGGAAGACTTCAATGCAAAACTAGGCACAAGAGAGAACGGTGAGCTGAAAGTGGGGAAATTTGGAATAGGGCAACGGATCCCAAGGGGCCAGCAGCTGGCCGACTTCATGGAGAAAGAGGGACTCTTTATGATGAACTGTTTCTTCCAGAAGCGGCCCCACAGAAAGCGGACCTGGTCGAGCCCCGACGGTTCGACAAAACATGAGATTGACTTCATTATGACGACCAGACGACAACTGTTCAGTGATGTCTCAGTGATCGCGAGGGTGAAAACCGGCAGCGATCACCGAATGGTTAGAGGCACACTGAACCTAAACGTTAAGTTGGAGAGGTCTCGTCTAATGAAGTCAACGCTCCGTCCCCCTCGTGCTCTAATCCAAAGTCCCGAAACCTTTCAGCTCGAGTTACAAAACCGTTTTCAGTGCCTAAAAGACTGCAATGAAGTGGACGATTTGAATGACAAGCTCGTGGAAACTGTCCATGCGGTCGAAGCTAAGTTCTGCAAGACCCGCCGCAGAAGAACACAAAAACTCTCCTATCACACTCTTAATCTCATGGCTGTTAGACGGGAGATGAAGCTACATTCTTTAACAGATTTGACAGCATACAGGCAACTGAACAGACAGATCTCTAAATGCATGCGGCGGTACTTACGCAACTTCAATACAGCTCGTATTGAAGAAGCGATCGAGCGGAACCAAGGCTCCAAAGTCTTTGCCAGAGATCTGTCTGCCAGAAAGAGCCAACTGTCAAAGCTGAAGACCGAATGTGGCTGCATTGTTTCCGGGGCACCTGAGATTTTGAGTGAGATTGAGAGGTTCTATGGGCAGCTGTACACGTCATCGTTGGAGCCGCACGCAAGTGTGAGTAACGATCCAAGAGCGAGTCTTATCCGACATTATTCCGATGATATCCCGGACGTCAGTCTGAGCGAGATTAAAATGGCTCGCCAGCACCTTAAAAACGGCAAGGCCCCAGGCGAGGATGGAATTACAGCGGAGCTTCTGGAAGCTGGTGGAAAACCGGTACTTGAAGTCCTTCAGAAGCTCTTTAATGCCGTCCTCCATGGTGGCATTACACCGGAGGCGTGGAAAAGAAGTGCGGTGGTCTTGTTCTTCAAGAAAAGTGACAACGCTGCTGTTTTCGGGAGTCTTTACGAAACGTCTCGCACGCAGACTTGACAACTTCCAGCCTCCCGAACAAGCCGGTTTCCGAAAAGGCTTTAGCACCATAGACCACATACATACCCTTCGGCAAATTGTACAGAAGTCCGAGGAGTACAATTTGCCACTATGTCTGGCGTATGTGGACTATGAGAAAGCCTTTGATTCCGTCGAAATTTTGGCGGTGCTGCAGTCCCTTCAGCGATGCCAAGTTGACTGTCGGTATGTCGAAGTGTTGAAGTGCTTGTACAGTAGGGCTACGATGGCTATCCGAGTACAGAACCAGAGTACGAAACCTATCCAATTGCAGAGAGGTGTAAGACAGGGTGACGTCATATCCCCGAAACTCTTTACCGCTGCATTGGAAGATGTTTTCAAGCTTCTGGCCTGGAGAGGATACGGTATCAACATCAATGGCGAGTACGTCACTCACCTTCGATTTGCCGACGATATAGTCCTTATGGCAGAATCGCTGGAGGACCTAAGCACTATGCTCAATGACCTCAATAGTGTTTCCCAACGGATAGGTCTTAAGATGAACATAGACAAAACAAATCCTCGCTAAAGAACACCGATTCCTCCCCAGGATGATTCCCCAGGCTATTGAAATTAAAAAACATCCTAATTTCAATAGAGAAGATGGCTGCTTGGGATCCCATAATTAATAAAATTAAATCCCAACCCAAGCATACAACTGCAAGACTTCATAATACTGTAAGTTCATACTGCGTAGATCGGAACAAAAATTAATAATTTTTAATCTGAAGGTAGCCGTGGTTAACTATGACATTGGGACGTCATACACCTCAGTCCGCCGTGACCATGGGTGCTGTAAAGTGCTCGAAACGTCGGGAATATAAAATAAGTTAATATACGCGATAAAATCCGTAAAGCCGATGGCATTGTTCGAATTACAGACATCAGAACTTTTACTGGAATTATCAAAAGTGCATTTAACCGTCCATTGCCGGTGACATTAAATTCTGGTTGAAATCAAAGATTCCAACGCCCGGGGACATGTTGAAGCGCCTGCGCCTTCTTTCTGAGCAACAAGTAAAACAACACACACTTTTATACACTTACATAACTTTAATTTTAAACACGTTCTTTGTTTTTGCAATATATTATTACCCTCTCAGGTGTTGTAAGATTAATACATTCGTCCAAGACCACAATCAAGGTGCATTATTTTAAAATTCCCTTATACTCCCGTACAGGTACCAACTAAAACCTACTGAGTGAAATCAATCTAACTTTTACACAAGCATGTCTTAATACATGAGGTATCAAAATATTTAATGGTGCATAACCAGCCAGTATGAATTTGGCTGTGAAAAAAAGTTCTCTGGTCGGAAAAAACGAAATCACATTCCGAACAACCTATTACATATACCATACACTATAACATACTATTTACTTAGAAGCAAGGTTATATTTTTATTTTAACTATAAGCAAAACTGCCATTGTGATATTTTAAGTCACTTGCCCGATCAGGGATTCTAACCGAGTTAAAAACCTTAATTAGTAAACCTATATTTTTTTTATAGGATAAGGGTAACAAACGAGCACACAGTCCACATGATGGTAAGTGGTTGCTGCAGCCCATAGACATCTACATTTATCCTCTATTACAAATCAAAATGTAGATGTGTTGTCACACGTGAGGACTAAGATGGAATGCCTCATTTCCAGTAAAAAGGGCCTCCGGCCACCTGCACTCACCAAGCGAAACGCAGAGGTAAACCTCTACTTCACGCTGGTTTTCTGTGAGGTCGTGGTACCACCCCGGTTCGAGCCGGCCCATCCGTGCGACAGCAAAAGCTGCCGCGTGGCTCTACCACTGTTAAAAAATAGTTATAGTGGTAATTAACCTGGTCAATGGTATAGATTGTTGATGTTTTGTATGATATTCCAACGATTATCTTTTAACTTAATATTCACTCCACAAAAATATGTCGATTCTCAATTTATGACTTTATATTTATAACTTTAACAATTTCAATCATTTAAGCAATGGTAGTGAAATGACATTTTATTATAAATATTTTAGTTTAATATGCTTTTACAGACAGATGTTAGTAAACCAAAAACTATGCAAAAGCCTAAACGAGACATTTGTTTTATTTAATAAATTTGTAAAAAATATTATGCTTAAATTTTATGTTTCTACACTCCTTTTCCATAAAAAATTTAACTACACCATATCTTACACTCTTCCATTCATGCAATATATATTTAAAAAGGGGTACTATGTTTTCAATTCCCGTATTTATATGTATAAATACAGAAGTAAAACAACTCAATAAAGTTTTCCAGATGTGCATTATCTCAGAATTGATTGTAAGTTATGTCTAGCACAATGACAGAAACGCAGAGATCCAAATTAAAAAAAAGTTGAGTTTATATGTATAGATGCATTGTATATTATGTAAATAACAACCCAAAAAACCACTTTTTTAAAAAGATTTGTATAGGTAAATTATAAAATGTACATTTTCTGCGTAGATATTAAGTTAGGGCCTCTCCTAAAAAAATAATTTAAGTTTACAAAAACAAAAGTAGTTTTAATAAAAAAAAAGATATGTACACTGTGTAAACACCAAGAACAAACACAAGATAGTGGTACCACTTACTCAACTTCATAGAGTCAGTTATTCGTTTACACTATTACCACAAATTTTTAGAAAATATACAATATATTTACAATTATTACAAGGATTATATTTTATGACAAAATCTTTATAAAATGAATACACTATTGGTAATAACCCCTGGAAATGAAGTAAACTATTGTACAATCTATTTTGTAATGTGAATGTGGATAAAATGTCACATTGGATTTCTTGCTAGTCCTTCCTAGGACGTAGGTTTATTTCCAAACCTTAAAATTAAAATATGACTTCCAATATGAATTATTTTTAACCTATTCAATAAAATATAATATTCTATTCCTTTATTTTTACAAAAAAAATCACACTGAATAAATTAAACACAAATATATTGCTATTTGCTAGGTTACAAAAAATAGATTTATTGGTGATAATTAAATCCAAATTAGCGCTTTATGCCGCTCGCTTTATGATAATAAAGTTTTATGCTTCATTTATTTTGTTTAACTTTGTATTTGACTTCACGTTCTCGCTGTCCTTCGATGGAATTAAGACCTTGACAAGTTGTGCTAGTGGCGCTTCAACCATTAGCCAGAAGGGAAATGCGATTAAATAGCAAAGTATTCCAGTGCCAACTCCTATTAAAATCTGAAATGATATAAAATGTTTATTTATTTATTTTATTTTAGTTTGAAATCCTCATTGCATCTCATTAGAAAAAAGGTCACAATGGGCGGACTCAATGCCTATAGGCATTCTCTACCATTCAAACCATCAAGTGATGAAAATTTGACGAAGCAATCGAAAAAAAAAAGAATAGATACTAAAATTAATACACATTTTATGTAATAAAATGTATTATGATACTATTAACTGTGCCCGCAACTTCGTTCGCGTGTTACTTTTGTTATGATCTTGATCGTGATATATTTGTACTTTTTAATGTCTCCAAGATCTAGAAAGACACTAATCTGGATAAAACATTCAGTTAGTCGGTTAATCAGACAAACTAACGAATGAACAAATAGATGGGTCCATAAAGGAACAAATGGATGGACCCACAAACCAACCATGAAAAGAATTGAGCAAACTATATACTTAAGTTTCATATTGTAAATAAACAACAAAATGACCGCAAAAACGTAATCCATAATTTGCTCCCTAACTTATCTAGCCAACACTTGATACCACAGGTACAACAGACAAGTGACTGCCCCAAATTTTTGCATCCCATTGCATTTTTCATCGCATCTACGGGGAGTGCTGTAAGGAATTGTTCGGATTAATTCCAGCCGCCAAATTTCACGAACACAAATCGCGTTAAACTTCACGATACCATCCTCACTATTTGGATTCTTGGCAGTCCACCACTGTGCATTTACTAGGAGTTTTCTTCCTCGTACAACTTCTTTGTGGAATTGTTTACCACCGGCGACTTTTCCGGACCGATGCGACTAATGACCTTCAAGAAAAGAGCTCATTCCTTTATTAAAGGCCGACAACGCACTTGCGATTCCCCTGGTGATGCTGTTGTTCATGGGTGGCTGTGTTCACTTACCATCAGGTGAACCGCATGCCCGTTTGCCACATCTTTTATAAAAAATTATAACCAAGCTCCATCCCATATTTTGGTGCTGTCGTATGAGTCGCCATATTGCCATTAATATTAAAAACATTTAAAATGAAAATCAATGCCCACCTACAATTAAGTACCCAATTACACTAATAAAATAAATGAATTTAGGTATATTATATCTTATTCTGCAAACAAATGAAAAATAAATTTTAAATCAACCGAGAAAAGTCATTTGGCGTTTAAGTAATAGGTGTAATCGAGCCCAAAATCAGTTGGATGTTCTATCAAGAAATTCTCAGCAGTAGATCGGAATCAGGATTTTAGCAGTGTTTCATCCCTGTGTCAAGACTTTGTTCAACAAAGTCTCGACTTTAGACGCACGTTTATTCCGGTACTCGGCGATGTTTTCCGAATGGCACGGCCGGTGTATAAAGCATCACCAGTGCTGTCGTATGCATAGCAATGAATGTTACTGGTTTGCTACATATCATTGATATGCAGAAGAAACAGCGTTGGTGATAGCACCTAGCTTTGTGGAACACCAGCGTTAATGGGCTTGTAATTGGAACATGCACCGTCTACTACGACCTTGATGCTCCGATCTGCAAGAAAAATGGTGATCAAATTGCACAATTTCTCGGGAAGCCTATAGGAAGGCAGTATCAAAAGAAGTTCTTTGTGCCAAACCCGATCAAAGGTCTTCGCTATGTCCAAACTAACGGCCAACGCCTCCACCTTGGATTCTGTGTAAACAGCACTTCCTGCATGGAGCACTCACACAGCGGGGTGGTTGGCGGTGTGTTCCCCCCGTCATCTAGAGTCGAGTTGGAAGCAAAAAGAGAGCCTAGCAGATCGCCTTTCTCCTTTGCGTCTTGGGCCAGTGAGTCGTCCATTCTGTGCAGAGATGGCAGAGATAGCTGAGAGAAGTCCCTTGGACAGCCTTGGCGAGATACCAGAATGTACGTGTTCCCGAAGGGTGGCGAACTAGTTTCTCGCCAATTCTGCCGATGTGCTCTGACTTTGCCTTGGCAATGACACTTTCGAAGGACCTGAAGGCGGAATTATACTTCTTTTTAAGAGCGCTGGTATTTAAATCCCGGGAGATTGATCTGTCAGCCCAGGCGTGGAAGCACTCCTGCTTATACCGTGATGCTATTTTACAGTAGCGACCAAACCAAGGCTGAGATCTGCCACCGATGGTCACTACAGAGGATGGAATAAAAAGTTCCATACCCTGTAGAACCACATCAGCGGCGGAATCAGCAACAACGCTGGGATCGTCCGGCGAGAAGCGAATCCGCCCCCAAGGGTAGGATGCAAAAAAGACCGCGTCCGGATGATAGGTCTGCAGAAGTTCCAACAGGGAAGGTACATGATCTTCCACATCTGGGATCCGCGTAGCCGAAGTAACCAGTTGTGTCAGACCATATGCCAAGGCAAAGAAAAATAATTATTAATCTTATTATGAAATTATAAATTAGCAGTGTAACAATTCGAAAAATTACCTCCCTTTTTTCATGCATTTGCAGAAGAATATATTCAGATAGGCTGAAAGCTTCACACTAATTAACTCGTACTCGTTGTTCGAAGCTTTTATATTTCGAAAACTTGTGTAGCGTGTTTTACGGTTAAAATAAACGATACTACAAGTTTAAGTAGTACAAGAAGAACTTTTGCATAAGCAATAAAACAAAATGACACGTCTTGTACTGCGATCATAAATTCACTTGTTTAGTATATTTTATACAACCAAAGAGGTTAGTGAATTTTACGGGCTGATAATACAGAAAAAGAAGCAAAACAGGAAACTGAAGAAAATTAAACAAAGATTTGACACTCTTTCCGATCTAGTCATGTAAAAAACCGCAATCAAAGTTATTATTGATCTTAATACTTACGATATTAAGTGATGTGGTGTGAATTAACGTGGTTCTAGTCCCTGTTATTGGTTTTAATATCAGCATATGCATTATGTACGCTGAATATGAAACTCTAGCGGGAGATGTCCAACCTCGCCACTCTAATATTCCTCGGCAAATATCTAAAATATTAATATTTAAACAATTTTATGTGATACTAGCTTTCTGTCCACGACTTTGCCTATCTGATTTTTGTAATATGTTAATTAATTTTTATCCGTGGAAGTAATAGGAGATATCTCTCGCCTTGCAATGTATTTAGCCCAAAGAGCGGTCAATGTTCCTTTATATATTGGAATCCAATAAAGATATTTAATTAATAAATGTCTTGTGGTACTTTCAAACGGAGCTTTGACACTTCCCTTTTAGGGCTAAGATGCCAGGATACTGGTGAAGCTCACCCGAGGACATGCCACACCGTGAGAGAAGCAGTCTTCCATAAAGTCGATGAAGAAAATTTTCGATCTTCAGCTTCGACAGATGGCTTTTTTGGCAGGGAGATCTTTGGCAAAGACTGGAGCCTTGGTTCCGCTCGATCACTTCTTCAATACGGCTGCATAATACATTATACAGGTGTATCGAAGTTGCGCAAGACCCGCCGTATGCAATTGAAGATCTGTCTTTTCAGTAACTGTATACTGCCACAATATCTGTTGAAGACTGCAGCTTCATTTCTCGTCTAACAACCATAATATTAAGATTGTGATCGGAGAGTTTTAGGGTACTCCTGCAACGGGTCTTGCAGAACATAGCTAAGACCGCATGGACAGATTTCACGAGCTTGTGATTCTATAAAAATGTAATGTTATAAAAAATACTTACTTTCCAATTTGAAGACCATTCCTAAAATGACAATTGAAAGAAGTAATCCATACACTGGCTTCACTATGCCAGAATATATGGCCCTGAGAACAAGAGGAGGCGATGCTCCATCCATATAGAACAAACTACTGCACAAAATCACTCCAATGCCAATAGGCAAGCAAGCCCAGTACAAATATTTGAATTTCTGAAAAACCAAAAAAGACGAAAGATAAAAGATAAAAGCGATATATGAATTATATTTAAATATATGCACTATATGTCCTTGTGTTATAGTCAAATTTACAGCTTCCAGAGAATTTCTGTTCACTAATTTTATTTTCTACCTACTTCAAAAAGGAGGAGGAACTCAATTCGATTGTTCGTTATTTTTTTTAATGTGTGTTACCTCATAACTTATTTCTGCGTAAACCGATTTCTATGCTTTCTTTTTTATTTGAAAGCTGGTACTTCTCATTTCATTTCATATAAATTTAATGGGGTTGTTATAAATTAATTTGCTTAATTCCGCGTAAAGAAAGAAAAATGATGTATCCTGCCCAGTTTTAAGGGGACCTCCCACCCTTCCTCTCTCAATCGCGCGCACTATACCCATCGCCGTCAATCCCAGCACTACCATCCTCAGTACCACCACACTAGACACGACACACCACTGTCGAAAATACGACACGTGTCGTATTTTTTATTGTTTGCACACATCGATATATGTAGTTTAAAAAAACACCCTCTATCTTAAGTCATAATATTGTTCTGGCATTATCCATAGTCACCTCTTACGATACCCACGGTTAGTACTAAGGTGATGAATTCTGCCACCTGCCACCACACCACACGCGGTAATATTTTTAATTGTTCGAGAAATGTCTCGTTCCGACGCCAATATAACGAGACTCTTAGTTCGTAGCTGTGCTGCGAGAACAATCACCATCAATACCTATTGCAAAGTTTGCGAGTCATCATTTAAATGTTGACTCGCAAACTTCGTTCGTGTTGCTTCGCGGTAACTAACTACTAACTAACTAGAACTAACTAACTATATATTATGTAAGGCGTTAAAGTATTTTTTGTAAGATGTGTTTTGTTTGTAGCAGTTGCTTTCAAAACTGATAAAAATATTTTCTGTCACAACTCCTTATGATTACATTTCGAGTCCCTGGTCAAATTCCAGCCGAAGTAAACATTTGTACAAAATCACAAATTTATGGTTTTTGGCATGTCAATATCGCAGTGTTTATATTAGGTTCACGTAATCAGTCACTATGCGTAAAAATTTTAAAACTGCAATATATCCCGCTCTTTTGATGATTTATAAAAATTCAAGTTCTTTAGTTTTCGTTTCTAAAAATCATAGTCATCTAAATAAAGCATTGTTTTTGAAATTCCCCTGTAAATGTAACAGAATATATATGTACTTCATATTTACCCTGTATTTTTTAATATCAAACTCTTCATTCTGCAGTCTATATATTAACAAACCAAGACTGAGGCCTATAATGTACGATGCCATATTTGTATGACCACGCTTATACGTGTTGATAAATGTTGGATCCATCTCGAAGAAAAACCGAGCCGTTCTGTTGAAGAAAATTTATTTGTATTAAATGTCAGAATACCTAATTTTGTCGTTTTGGTAAAGTGTAACAATTTATTTTTATTTAAAAAAATTGCTAACACTTAATGAAAAGAAAACAAAAATAAAAGGGACGATCCACGCAGCAACATCAAATCATCAATATGTTTGCGTTTTTTCTATTCAAACTCAAAAATCTTAACTAACTTTTAAGGCTATACCAGTAGATAAAGAATTCCATTGTCTGAAGACGATCCTAGCTACAACACGTGGTAAAGCCACACTATGGTGGCTTTTGTGCAACAACAATAAAACTAGCTGCAAAACGAATTGATCGCCTGAGCTGGTTACATACTGCATAATGCTGACATAATGGAAACTCTTTTCACTAGTAAAGATGCATTACAATTTTCAATGATGATCGAAAGTAGATGTAGATACTCGTATCTATAGACCAAAGCATCTTTTTACCATAAGGTAGACTGCGCGATCGTTTGTCACTTACTTTACTTTACTACTGAAATAATATTAAGTCAACGTTTTGTAAAATTATTTTATACAATCCAAGCATATATACCAAATTTAAAGAAGGTGCCAGTAACCATTAAAGAAATCCATGAAGATTAAACAATTTTGGTTACTTCTAGTCTGTCGTTATGGTTACTTATTCATATACTTTATATATAAAATAAAATAAAATATAATTACGAACTCAGGTGAGACGTGGAGGTAGGCATTCAAGTTCTGAATGTACGTATGGAGAGCAGGAATGATTAAGGCTACCACGAACATCACCGACAATGCAACTTTTCTAGCATATTCCCTCGTAACTAGTATCAGTAGTAACAGTCCAAAGATGTATAATTGCATATCCGCTGCAAGGTACCTAAAATTGAACATTGTAATAAATAAAAGATTTTATATAAATAATTTTTTTTTTATTTATGTTTAAATGGATTTATGTATGTTTATGTTTAAATGATGAGTGCCGGGTTCGAATAGCACCACCCCAACTCTTCCCGTGGGTGTCGTAAAAACCGACTAAGGGACAAATCCAGGTAATGGGCAGTTCCTGTCTAATATAACACCTTGGAATGCGCTCGCCAACCCGCCTGCCAGGCTTAGCCAGTATGGCATTTATCCCTTAAGGCCTTAACAGTGGTTGAAATGCCTAAATCTAGGATATTTAAGTAAAAAAATCTCAATAACTGTTCATTTAATCCACAAAGAAAAAATACAGGGTAACAGAAGAAGATTTGGTAAATGTTTTTAATTTAACAAAATTGTATTTTTGTCAACCCCTTATTAGAAATAAAATCCCCAAAGAGTACCAAACGGTACAAGCTTTTTAAATAGTTCTTACACTAAAAAAAGGGTCTTAAAAATAGTAATATTTTTAATTGAGAGTTTTATTTTTATTACCCGTTTTATAAGAGAATATATCATTTTTCCCTGAAATTGAACATATTTACGCGAGCGCGCATGCTCCGTCGCCATTTAAGCTCTGTCACAGTCCGTTTTCGGACATTGTCGAGGGTGGACCGCACGTCGGTGTTGGAGCAACTTCGTTCAAATATATATTAGTTTTTTAAAAGTTTATACTCAATTATAAATATTTTTATGACTAGAAATACTTAATTTAGTTAATATCTGTACACTGGTAACTGTAAATATTATTTTCTAAATAAATGAATTTTTAAAGTGCCCAAAGAAGAAGAAATTTTCGCGGCGACTTTCATTAGTGAAATTGAAAAATGCATTTTTATATACTTAATTTAGATGTAGAACGACGAACATGCTCTCGTTACTTAGATTTCGATAGTTTTTAATACGTATGTAATTTTATTGTTGCATATTTTTATTAATTAGTTGATACTGAATTTTATAATTATGTATTACAATAAAACGCTGTTTTTATGAGTATGACTTTATAAAATATTATTGGGGAGGGAAATAAAGATACAGATACTTACATTTAGGTACACTGTTATCAAATTAAATCAAACAATTTAAATAAATAAAAGAATGGTGCTTACCTAAGTATAAATAACTATATAAAGACATTCTTGGGTTTATGGTATTTTTTATGTTAGACAAATTATCATCTAAAAAATGTAAAAATTTTAAATTTGAAAGGGGTTTCTCTACGTGATAAAGTTAGAAATGAAGATATTTGCATTAGAACTAGAGTAACTGACATAGCCCAACGGAATATTACAGTGAAATGGCAATGGGCTAGCTATATAACTTGGAAAACAGATAAAAAATAGGAAGAAAGGTCCTCGAGTGGCAACCTCGTACAGGTAAGCGAATTAGTACTCAACCTTTATTCCTCTTCACGTATTCTCATACGCTTTTGTTCACACATACACACACACACACACACACACACACACACACACACACACACACGCGCGCGCGCGCGCGCGCACACACGCACACACGCACGCGCGCGCGCGCATACACACACACACACACACACACACACACAAATTGGTCGCAAATAATACTTACATAGTACTATTAGGCAAGAGCGAATAGGTTTTTGTTAAGTCAGTGCAATTCACCATCTTAGACTACATAACCACTTACCGATGGGATTGTAGTTGCTTTACTACTTGTTGGGTAAAAATAGTAAAAAAAAAAAATTACCCTGTGAAAGTTTGCATTTAGATATAAATTTTCTAACCAACCATAAAAATATGATGAGAATATGTATATAAGTATAAAGGTTGCCTCACACGGGACAGTAATAATATAATATTATATCTTCCATTATCTACGCATGAAAACTTTTAAAAACTCTACATCCCGAGGTATGTTCATATTAAGAGGCTGAATAGAGCCACATTGAAATGCATGGGGATCGTTTTGTAATTTCACGTCATTATCGAAAAAAAATTGTACGTATTTCAGGTGGTGATTTGCAATACACGATTCCACAAAAATTAACTCAATAGAAAATAATTGCAAAGTTGCTTCTAAAAATACTTAAATTTTCAACGTTATTTTTTTCTTACGTGGTAGAGCCATGCTGCAGCTATATTAGTAGTAGGTATAGTTGTAGCACGAAAAGGTCGGCTCGAAAGAGGAAGGGCCACGCTCTCACGGAATAACATGTAAAATAGCAGTTTAACCGTGCTGTGTTTCGTATGGTGAGTGTAGAGAACCGGAGAACCTTTTTACTGGAAGCGAGGCATTACATCTTAGTCCTCACGGGTGACAACGCATCTACATTTTGATACGTAATCGAGAATAGATATAGATGTGTATGGGCCGTAGCAACCACTTACCATCAGGTGGACTGTGTGCTCGTTTGTCACCCTTATTCTATTAAAAAAAAAACTTTCTGAGATTTCAGTAAAATAATGTTAAGTATTGTAAGCACTCGAACAATTATGTCTCATGTTAATAAAGCTATTGGGCTATTTTGATTTGTAATATAGTGATTTTACTTTATAGGTTAAATAATTTATTTACCTTTCTATATCAAGAACCGTTTTTCTGTCACTGCTATTGAATTTGACAGTGCTTGCTGAAATTTAGCATCTTTAGATGGATCAGAATCGCGCGCTGATCCGGCTGTTAGATATTGCAAAAATAATCGAAAATATTTATTTTTACTTTCATGCCGAAGACTACCTTGTTTTATTTTATTACGGTCAAATAATATTTATTAGGTTATAAAGCAAGTATTTTTGTAAATATTTTGTATGTAAATGTAAATGTTTTCATTATTTTGTTATTCTATTGTTTACAGTTATTATCACGTCTTAGCTTTACACCAAGAATTACATTAGAAATTCTTGAAGGGATGCGATGTAACGCGCATACATTATTTTCATCAAGAACTTTAATATATATATTTGTTTTTTTTTTCAGTAGAGTTTCAACAAAATCTTAAAAAAGTTCAATGATTTAAAAAAATGCCAATAATTATATAATTTCAAGTCAGTGTTTTACATTTAAAGATCAGTTATAAAGAGCCAAAGTTATTATTTTCATTTTGATTAATTTATTTCGAGATTAAAATAAATGTGAAAGGGCTTTTATCTGCAATAATAATTTTCATCAAAAATAACATAGAATTATAAAAGTCATATACACGGTCAATCATACTGAAGATTATCAATTGTATTACAAAATATTTAAAAGACTATTTCCAGTATAATGACCCGAATATCATCATTAATGTTTGACTGGCACACTTAAAAGTTTTATCACATGGCTAAATGATTGACTTTTATATTATGATAAGGTCATGCTTTTCTATAAAATATTGCAAGAAATTTTAAATCACGGCCCTATTGGTTTGTTTTACTTTTTACTTAATTAGTGAAAAACAAGATGGACTGATCTAAAAGTTTACTTTCTTGTGTAAAAAGTGCTATTTAGAATTTTATGCAAATGATAATTAAAGTTTCTAAGTAAATAAGTGTAACATAGCGGGTATTATATTCAATGGTAGCGGCCATCCATATTTGCAAAGCCAGCATCATTTTCTGTACAGAAACCGGCAAAGTGTTGCTCAAGGCACTATAAACAAAGCAGCTGATAAAATGTTACACTCATAACTGTTAACAAAAACTGTTTCCGCAAATGGTCTTATAGATAAAAATAACTATTCCGCCGTGTTAAGTGCAGGAGCTATTGTTAGAAGGGGAAGAGGTAAAATTTTGTTTTAGAAATGCGCAATCAATATTGTTTTGTCTGCAATTGAGCATAAAATAAAAAATAACTTCAGCCAAAGAGCATAACTGGCATTATACTCAGGCCCATTAATTGGTATGGAAAAAAATAATTTTACCAGGTTTCAAAAAATCAATCAAAATTCAAAAAACATAAATATTAAAATCAAAAAATGTATATATGTATGTCTATACATACATATAATGAATTATGGCCGCTTAGTAAATGACGGTGACTCACTATAACATCCTACAGTCACACCGAAACTAAGAGGAGAGAATCACTGTAGAAAAGGTAATAATTTATTGCGGAAATTTTGTGATAAAATTTAAAAAAATTATAAACGTATCCAAGTTAATCTAACTTAGTCTAACTTATCCTTATGCGTTACAAAAAAAAAACAAATAATAAAATAGTGAGATGGCGTCCGCTTTTAAGAAGATATAACAAAAATAAACAAAAAAATAAATTTCAAAAAAGTTCAGTATTTAATTGATTATATACCGCTGACAGTTAATCACGCTTTTCGAAACCACGCCAGTTGTAAACAATACTTGTGTGAAAAGATAAAATCTTCTTTTCAAAGTGTTTTAAGTAGAAGGCCAAATAGGTCACGTGTAAATTTTAATTATATATATTTTATATGAAGTGATCTTAACTACGTTTCATCAATTAACCATTGGTAAAAATTAAAACAGGAATTTTACGATTGTGTTTACAAAACACATTATTAGTTGAACCTTGCAGCTTGTTCATTATTTTTATTATAAATACCTATAAATGTATATATTATTAATAAATAGTTCCCATAATATTTTGGATTATTTTTTATTTTGCCCTATATGCAATGTTCTACGCTCTATAGAAAATGTGGCGTATGACATGACTGACAATCTCTCGAACGTTTTATCTAGTTACAAAGATGTTTTACGTTTTCGTCGCCCCCACATGATATTTTTGTCAGCATAAGGTACCTTTCTGTATCTGAAACGAATATAAATATTGCTACAAAGTAAAGTAATAGGCTATACAAGTCCCTCTACTGGGCAAAGGACTCTTTTTTTATTTCTGAGAGGTTTTAGGGCAAGGAAATGCCCGTCGTGCTTCCCCAATGTGTGTTGACGAAAATTGCAATTACAAATTTCATTCGTGCTGTCGGGGATCAAACCCGGGAAAATTTACAGCGAACGCTTTGAC